GTCTGATTTCTTTTTAATTAGAGGTAATGTGTTTTCCTAAGGTACATAAACTTTTGGGATTGACTGTAGAGCCAATACATCCGTAAGATTGTATGAACCTTTACGTACGAACAATTGAAATTTTAACAGTTACTAGATATTATATTAATAAAACACTACAAAATTTTAGAAATTTTACGAGCTTATTCATAAAGTTATTACATCTTGAATTCCTATGTCGTACGACAGAATTTTGATTTTATTTATGAAAAAATATGAATACAACAATGACAGAATATTGTAATTTTGTATAATTCTTAATACCTGATTTAAGAATATTTTAAAGTTGAAATAATGTGAATTTCGAGGATATTAGATGTTCTTAAACTTCTGGCAGAGATCTTGTGGCTTATACAACCTTAATCAGAAGTGTTAGAACCGTATTCTTGGTAATTTAATAATAACGATATTGTGGATTTGGATCGACCCTTTGCACTCGTACGAGTTCTATAATGAATCTGTATTGTCATCTTCGGCATAGTATACGATTGCAAAGGATTAAGAATACGTTTATAGAATATTCGCAGACAGCAAAATGCGTGTATTACATGGAATGTTCGTAATAAACGATGTATTATATTAGAAACGATTAAAATCGAAGATTTCAAGATTGGAGATGAATTTCCTATCGCCGAAGTGGATACGGTCTGTCTGACCACGTCAGCAGTCATTAGAATCAATTGGTTTTCCTAACAACGAATCCAAAGCGATGATCGCGTTTAATATTGGAAACGAATTTCATTTCATAAATTAAATTACACCGTCCCGGGTTCTTTGTCGCGGAAAAAACGCGAATTCAACTCGAATCTTGCTCTGAGAGAGAAAAGTCGCTTTACCTCCCGAGAACAAAGTCGTCGAAAGTACTTGCAAATGGCATGAATTATTTTTTTTTTCCTGTACCCTCCAGTCCGCTTCTTACTTCCGAGCGAATAAATTGCGTTCGTCGCATTGTTGTTACGCAAATTGCTGTAACTCGCTCATTCGAGCCTCGTTCCGCTCGCCCGTTCTCGAGTTTATTGTCTCCGGCTCGGACGATTTTCGAGACGCCAATGGGAATAGTACAAATTATAAATTCTGCAAGGTGCGAGATACCGTGCGAATTAAACAGAGGATGTAAATAAAATCGGGAGGAATCTCGAAATGTATCGTCGACGATATGCAAGTAGCCATGGGAGTAAAAAATCGTCAATTGAATTTCTGGAATAGAAATCACGAAGCGTATATTCGATCGTAATTAAGCAGGTGTGAAAATTAAGATTGAATTCAGATTTCAGTGAGAATTAAATATCAGGTAGACACTATAAACATGATAAGAAACGATTTCTAAGTAACACTAAAAAGAATCGTAAACTATATTTCGAATAAAAGGCTGACTCGATGAGCGAGACGAGGAGGAAGTTGGGGTAGGACTGTTCGTTTGTAAAAAGAATGGAAAGTCGGACGGTAAAGGAAAGCGTAAAATTGGCCAATTTCACTTGGAACCATGACTCGCGACGAGATCGTTCAGCTCCTAAGGAATCCACATAGTTAATCCGAGGATTATTGGAATCGAAAACGGTGAAACTACTAATTTTGTCTTTAGATTCGAATTCGCTGACCGTCGCGACGCGACGATCGAGGCCAATTAGCTTGAGCAAATGGTATCGATTAGTCGCGGCTAACGGTGCCACCGCGAGGGAACAATCGCGTAAAACGAACCGGTTTGTCAATATTTCCCAGCAACACCTTCCGACAGGAATATTTCCGTCTTTTTAAATTTATCATTCGCGTGAGGATCGTTCGGGCGATCTGAGAAGGATTCGTCGTTTGGTCGATATATAATATAATTTGCTGCGTATTCATTTTAAACGCAGTCATCTAATGAATAACGTACAAACCGTCCGATAAAGTTTACGACTAAAGGCGTCGTTAAATTGTAGAAAAAGTATACTCATAAACGTCTCGTAAATCTGGAAAAAACTTTGCCGGTACTTAAACTCCGCCGCAATCTTTATCTCGGTGCTTCTAAAATGATACACAGTGAAATCGACGAGACAGGCGTCTCGATCGTTGTTTCGATTCTCGTAATTCGAATAGAATCGGTCGGATTTTTACGTTGTACGTGCGTCTCGAATTTCCGACCCCCCGGATTTCCACGAGTGGAAACGAGGTCGAACGGCCATTCCAGTCTCCTCCTCTTCGATCAAATTCATCCCTCGAAGAGAGCGAAAGAGAGAGAGAGAGAGAGAGGGTGACGTCATCGTGCCCCGGCATCCTTCGATGCGAAAATGCATTCCTTTTCTCGGGTCAACGCGATCCATCCCCCATGCTTATCGCGCGTTATTTTAGACCCGGTAAAGGCCAGAGCGTACAAAGTGCAACTTTCCAAGTGCCGAACTATGCACACTACGAACAAGACCGCGGTGCGTACGAGCAGATAAGTTTAACTCGATTAACGACCCTCGAGGAAATAACCAACGCGACGATATTACGACATTCTTCTCAATTTCAATCCTGTTTGCGCGTGAAGAGATAGTGAGTCGCGCTTGAACGATACAGAAGCCTATAAAGCATTTTATTGGAGTTTCCCCGCGCCAGTTGCACGCGTTATTTGTATCAGAAACGTTACGTTCGCCGTGGAATAGAAGCCGCAGTAGCATTCGGAAAAGTCGAGCGGGAGAAACGCGAAAATTGATTGTTCCCCTCGAGACGTACGGGGTACGGCACGCGAAACTATTAGCTGTTAACCTACATGCGACCACGATGGACGGCATTGATAAAAATGGTCTCAACGAAACAGTATGTTACCGTTCGGAAATTCCGTGTCTCGATAAGGGCTCGCGTCACGAAACGGGAATCATGCCACGGCAATCACTATATGGAACGTATTAATAAATCAATTCAATCTTACTTGCACTACTTACAGGATTATTCAAATGTGTGACGCAAATGATATTTCACTTAATTTTCCAGTAGATCGATGCGTTTATTAATTTTGTCAAACATGAAATCATTTTTAAAATGCAGTCAAGTAGTGTTCCGATAAAATTATACTTTGTGCAATCTGTACATTTCATAGAATTCTATTTCAGTCCTAATGATGATTAGTAGAATAAAAAATTCCATAACAAGAATTGTTACTACGATTCCTCTGAATTATACCTGAAGAATTCCAAGAGCTGGCAAATTGATATAATAAAACAATTGCCGAGAAGAAATTATTGCCACGATTATCACGAGTTATTCTACGCGCGGTATTTCCTTACTAAAAGCAACATTTTTTCCTGGTTGCATCGAGCAAACATTAGCCGGTTATCTGATTCTGGGTAAACGTAATTTTGCAACAGAGTCCCCGCGAATATCACTCGATTGCGTGCTTATCAAAATTTTTGATTCCGCGGCGACGATAAGAATTTGTAGAAAAACAGCGGGTATGCATTTTGTATCTCGTGCCGGGGATCGTTACCAGACGGGGCTAATGTTATTACAAAAATAAACTGAAACACGGAACATCGTTCAGGGATATCCCGTTCGAACACGCTGTTAAATGGATTATTCGCTTCCAATCCGACTTACGTTGTTTTAACCCGTTGCCACGCGAGATACCAAAGTCGCTTTCCTTACAATAAAAACAGTTCGAATCGAATATCTCCATACAAATTGTATTTCCTCCGTTCCGTCGACAAACTAAAAGAGAAGTTTAAAATGCTCGTTGAAAAAATTTAGACACGAACGCATTGCTAATATTTATTAGAAAAAACAAGATCGGTCGAAGCGTGAAAACGTTTGGCCGATGTCCAAAGGAAATATGAGACGTGCGAGTTAATTTTTCCTTAGCCATGTAAATGAGATTAGCTCGAAAATCGATTTTGCTTTGATAAACAACTCGGAACTGGGTCAGCCGGTTCCTTAACGAATGGGGGGAATCGCTTTGCGGTGAACGTTTACGAATCCGTGCGGCAAACACGTGGAAATGGCAGCAGAGGAAAATCGCGAACCGTGCGTTCGAATAAAAAGAGAGAAAGGAGGCGTTGAACGGGACGATTCGGTTGCCGGCGAATTACAGGCTTCTCGAATCCCCTCTTAGGAAATCGAAGGGTGGACTTGCGAGCATCATCGAACCCGAAAGCCTATTCGATCTATTTTAAGCCTCGCAAGCTGATTCGATGCCCGCAATACGAAACTGGCCTCTCTCTCTCTCCATAAATATTCCCTCTTTTATTGTCCATCACCTACGGCTTTTGATTTCGTTCAACTCAATCTCAATTACATTTATTATATGGCATAACAGTAAATGTACGATAAAAATAATATAGTGAACATTATAAACGTAGAGATTGTGAAATGTCCAGAAAGAGGTCCATATAAAATATCTGGCTTTCCTTCA